TATTAATCCACGCTAACATTTTAGAAATGCTAATTTGTGACGTGACTTGCTTTCCTTCTCTCGGGGGCGTGCCTGCTCTGTTCTATCACTCTACATAGCCACCCACTGGGTGGGAGTTGCACTGCATAAACACAACACACGTGCATCTAGGTATGTAAATTGTAAAGCATTAAAACATGGTTTTACTAACAGTTTTCAGTATGTTGTTACTTCGGCATTATTATTATTATTATTATTTTGAAACGTGTATTACTATTAAATCACGGTCAAATAGGTTAATTTTGACATAGTCGTTTCCACCACAGTATTTACATGGAGAAGATAAGCCCCGCCCCCTCTCCAGCACGTTCTGTTTGAATGACAGGAGTAAACAGCTGACAGCCGCTGTGAAACTCCAGCGGTTAGAGCGATGAGAATGTCCGTTCGGCACCTCATGACGCATCTACTGAGTACCGGGCGGCTGTATATATATATATGGATGTATAATAAGAACGGCGGGAGAGTGTTGAGTACTGGCACGGTGCATGAGTACCGGAGTACCGCCAGCATGCCGGTACTGAGCAAGAAGTGCCGGTACTCCATGGGTCAGAACCAGAAGTGCCGGTGTTGCAGTATAACGTGAGTCATGACAACTGGCGACATTCTATTATTTTCGTCATAGGAATCCGGGGCGTGTACATTGAGGACCCATTGTTGACTTACCATGTCGATCGCCTCGTTTGTCGTTTACGTTCATCTTTTGCTATATCTGCCTTCCTAAAATCACTTTGATGCACATTCAGTACTCATATGTGAGGTTGTGGGTGAGAGGTGGATATCGTGACGCTTACAGGGAGGTATCGAACATTACAAAGTAGGTGACTGTGTGGATGCCTGTTCAAAATATTGCAAACTTGAATAAATCATTTAAATTATATATTTGTGTCCGACTTTCATTTGTACATCGTTCTTAATGTGATGTATAGTAGCTCTGATAGCTGTCCATACCTTCAGACAGCCTAAAAGTAAAACACAAGTCGTTTATTCACAGCCCGACCGCTCATCGAGATGACTGGATCACTCATAACAAGTTGTGATCAGCTCCGATTAAATTGTGATATCAATGCTGTACCTATTCTCCAAGGAGCACGTTTTTTTTAATGAAATACCTGTATCCCTCTCATCACAACAAGACTCTACACTGTGCAGAAAAAACAATTACATACATGAAAATAACCTTGATGCATGGGAATGAAACACACAAACTATCTTCCGTGGCTATACTGATATGTCACAGTAACGGTCAACCACAGAAACGTAAGTCCCGCGGGGCACACGTTGAATACATATAATACAGTAGTTATAGTATGCCTTTAAGCCTATACGTTTAACCCATAAGAACCCGGACCCATTTCTACTTTTGGGGAAATTAAGGGGAACGTCATTTAGACTAAATAGACCACCTAGAACACATTTCTGACCCCCTAGTGTCAAATATCTGAAATGTGACATATGTGTCACATTGGGCTTTAATGGTTAAGTAACTCTTATTTATAACTTCATTAATGAGGATGATTTTTTGGTTTACATTTGTTTGAACATACTTTGAATAATAAAGAATATGTTAACTAAATATAATTGAATCAGCTAAATTAACTGAGCAGATCATAATCATATTTGTAATTGTGCATATATGTCACTCCGGGTTTACTGTGAATGTCTAGGGTTAATGTCTCGATGTGACATCAGTGTCACAGCAATATTTATGGCATTTGTTTCATATCAATTTCATCAATAAATGTTTCTACAACAGGTTATATGTAATCAGAATCAGAGAAGAGCCCAAGACAGCTTAATGTTTAACAAATGACATGTCATGTAAGCATTTTTATTCTTAAATGGCTTGAATGTTAACTTTAGCAACAAAAAACCTTTCCAAATGTAGCTAGTTCTGTCACATGTGTTAGCCTGGCACATGGACATCTTGGACATGTTGTTATGGGAACACAAAAGCAAATGACAAGGACCATAACCCACCAGACTGTTCAGTGTGTGTCACTTAGGGACCTCATGAGATAAAAAGGCTAAAGCTGTATAAGGAACTTTCCAGAACATTTAAAGTTCATGTGACACCTGTGTCTAAGCAATTCTGTCTGCCTTCCGTGTTGCACCATGAGGACCCACTGATATACAATTCTTAACTGTCTAAGTTGCAACCATGCACTTTTTGGAGGGCTAAGCGCCAGCTTGACATATTTTTGGCTTCATTTATAGAAGGAAAGACAACAGTGATAGTTATGTTTCAGAATAACATTTATTGGAAATTGTTAGAACAATATCCCTGGTCACCGGCTTGAGCTTCAGTCTCAGGATCCATGTATCTGTGATCCTCTCCAGAATGGAAGTAGTCATCACATACAGAGCATCAACTAGTTCCTGAACAGTGTCCTTCACATGCTGATATCCAAGAGAGGGAGTCACACAGTCACAAGATGGAGGAATAGAAAGCAGTATTCAATGTTTACTTCAGATTAGCTCCACGTCAGAAATGAGCATGCTTGTCATATGTCTCTCTCCATAGAGGCTGAATCATCATGTTAATCACATAGCTATCATATGCCTCAAACAGTCCTGATGCTCTTCTAGGTAATCACACATCCTGTCATGTTCACAGCTACAGCTGGGATACCTTTGTTATCACGTTACTCTCATGTTGGAAGAGTACATTCAGGATTTTGCCAACAGAAATAATAAACTGTGTGTGTGTGTATGTGTGTGTGTGTGTGTCTAAGAAGTGCAGCCTTTACAAAATAAATCTGCATTGACAGAGGGCTCCCCAACACAGTACGTGTGGTACCACAGAGTGCACCCAGTGCACTCGATCTTAAAATAAACAGAAAAAAGACATGTTAGAATATTGACAAACATTTTACATCACTCATCCAGAGTAAGCAGTAATCAAGTTGTTTACATTTCATTAAGCAAGCAATGTATAGTTTTAGATCTTAGCTGTTTTCCTTTCTGTTTAGAGTCCATGCTCAGAAGTTTCTTCAACTGCTCCAGTGTCCTCCCATAGTGCAAAGACATGCAAGTTTGGTGAATTAAAGTAAACATTTATAATATCTGTTATAGAGAGTGTTCACCCAGTGATGTAGAGGTAACCAATCCAGGGTGTATCCCAGTCTTCCAGCCAAATGTTGGTCAGGAAATAAATACAACTTCTTACCTATTGGTCAACCTTAGGCCCTATGCTATGTTCCCCACAGGCCCGACACAGCTCGGATAGGTCATCTGTAAAGACATAATTCAGAAATACAGGCATTAAGGTAGTGAAATGCCAAATAAGATACAATATTTCTGTTTCCCCTGTCTAGTCCTGTATACCTGAGTTGTTCACCAGAGCCATTGCCATGTGGAACCTCATTGAGGCCACTCCTTCCTGGTCCACTGGGTACTGGACCTGTTGTTTTTGCAGTATTTGCTCTGCAAGCTTAAAAGGTCTGTCATAAGTATCTTCGTAATATTTGTTAATTACAGATGGTTATATATACACACACATTACTAATTGTTACCTTCAGAACCAACACACCGCAGGATGTAGAATCCATCTGTTTGGGATGAGCGATTGTCGTGCAGGCCCATCTCCCAACAGAAGGTCTGTGTTTCCGGACCAGCGATCTACATAGGAAACAGATAGATTGGGTTTTGTATATAAGCCCAATTCAGATCCTTTTTTAAGTCAAGAAGAGCTGCATGTTCACACAGGACAATCTAATGGTATTCAAGTAAAACAGTAGTAATCAGGAACATGATTTATGTGGCTTTGTGTTGCTCCCCCTTAATATAATCCAAAATCCTGAATATGTCTAGTAAACACATTAGAGCTTATATTTTATTCACCTTGTTACATCTTTGCATCTGATTAACTGCTCTTCCGTGGCCCCCAATGGGTTCAAGAACAGGGACCTGTTCTCGTTCAGATACATGATCTATGGAAGTGAAAATAAATTATTAAAGTGTTGAGTGTTAAATAAATAAAAATGTATTGCTATCACATATTATTAAATAAATAAAAATGTATTGCTATCACATATTATTAAATAAATAAAAATGTCTTGACCCATTAACATTTTAGATTACTTACAATGAGGGTCCAGTGTGCCCCGTCACAGACAGCTCCGGCTGCCACCTCATGTTTTGACAAGTCCAACTGAAAAATATTTGTACATACATCAGTACATACATATGTTCATATATACACTTATTTTTAGTACTCTACTCACCTTTCTTAAGCTTCCCTTGTGGGTTCCCTTCCAGAGGGAAGTCATTAGGTAGGAGTCCACAATGAAGACCCCAGCTTTGGCCCCAACCCATGCCAGATAGGCATTCACAATCTATGAATACACCAGTATCTTTTGAACCGATTTTCAGAATGATCAGTTTGCCTACTTACATTTTTCATATACAGTACGCTTACCTCTCCCTCCAACTCCTCTCCCGGGGCCAAGACCAACAGATTTTGACTGTATATTTTGTATGGGCCATACTTGGCCCACAGTGTCTCTTGTCTCCTCCCTGCCCATATGTCTCGGATTACTATAAAAAAAGGCATGTTAGTTATGAATGAAATGCATACTTTAAGGTGTACTTTGTTTCAGTTTACTTACAAGTCTCTACATCAGAGGATGCTCCCCGTGCGGAGGAGGTGGGTGTGGAGGTGGGTGTGGGTGTGGAGGGCAGTGGAGCATCCAGAGGAGAAGGATCCAACACTTTTTGTAATTTAGCAGGGATCCTCTCCTCTGGCTGGACATAGTGTTTCAAATGATCAATGTTCACTCTCATTGTCTTCTTTCCTTTTTTTGTAGCAAGGTCCGCTACCTTCCCCTCAATGTTTAGGATCCTGAATGGTCCCAACATGTCTGCTTCTAGCTTTCCTCCTTTCCGACCTTTTGTTGCGTTTTAAAACGAAATCCCCCACTTGAAAATTGTCCACTTGCCCACCTTCTTTCTTCTTGCGGATCTTATCCTGGCTTTTTGCTATGTTACCTTTCACCTCCGCGAAAACTGCCTCCTGTTTTTTGAGTCCCTCGAAGACTTCCTCCATTTGCACCAAGCTGCTGACTTTCTCTTCCGTTATCTGCCACAGAAAAGCGTTAGAATGTTGAGAAAACATAGATGTTTGAAATACTATGAATAATTAAAAAGGATGAGGACATTATCAGATCTTACTTCATACTCCTTGGGCACCTCTGACGGGTACCTCGCCTCCCTCCCAAACATCAGAAAATAAGGGCTGAACCTGGTGGTCAGCTGGGTTTTCGTTCTCAGACCAAACATCGTCCCTTGGAGGAGTTGGTCCCACCGTTTGGGCTCACCCTCCACCAGTTTGTTCAGGGACCTAAATTCAGGTAAAGTACAAACACAAGAAGGTAAAACAGAAATTGGTTTCTAATATATGATAAAGCAGCTGATTTATTGACTTTTGTTGTATTTTTAGCTATCAATTCTGATTAGTTAATATAGGAACAGTAATGTTTGTTATTCGATGAACAAATATACCTTTGTATTGTGCCATTTCGTTTTTCCACCAAACCATTTGTTTGTGGGTGGTACGGCGAGCACAGGCTTCTTTTGTTGGCCAGCTTCTCACAAAGGTTATAGTTGACCTTCAAGTGAACATTGGGACAAACAGGAAATAAGTTTGTTAGCACAGCACAGTTACATAATGGGGAGTCATAATTCTTCAAAGTAGTACCTTATTGCAAAATTCCCTGCCTTGATCTGTTAGCAGTCTTTTGGGTGCACCACATTTGTAAAATAAATCAAGAATACACCTCATCTGCTGTTTTATTTTTAAGTGGGTATGCCTCTGCCCATTTGGTGAAATAATCAACCATTACACAAATGTACTGATTGCCACCATCGGTTACTGTGAGTTTACCCACTAGGTCCATGCCGACAAGCTCCAGAGGCTCTGTTACCTGAGAAGAAGAAAATACACATGAGCATTGCAGTACATTACTGTTGGCATGTTTGAAAGCTGAAACTGTCTGCAAATGTGTCCTGTACTTCAATAGGAGTGTACTCTTTCTTCTCCTTGATAGTGGCCCTCTTTGACTGGCACTGGGGACACTGAGCAATCTGAACAAAAAAACACACTATACATTATGTGTTGCACTTTTGTACCATAATGTGTAATTTACCTCATTATTTTGAACTCACCCACTTGCGGATGTCCTCCGTCATGCCAGGCCAATAGAACCACTGAATGATGGCCAGATGAGTTTTCTCCATTCCAGCGTGTCCACCAATTAGGCTGCAGTGGAACTCTATGAAGAGCTCGTTGGCTTCTTCACTTGATAAGACCACTTTTGCAAGGTGCTCACTCCTGTTTTTTTTCCTCCTGCATATGTAGTGCAGGTCTCCGTCTGGTATTGAAATGTCATAATTATACATGTATTAACAGTGTTATCAAAGCAGATGATGTTCTGAAGACCACATGTCTGAAATGGTTACCTTTAATCCTGAAGGACTCAGCCCTTCTTTTGATAGCAAACCTCTGTTTGTTAGTCAAGCCTTCAGGATATATATGGCGGATATGGAAATCCAACAGTTCTTTCACCATGTTTGCATCCATGGTTTGCTGGCCCTCTCTAATATGAAGCCCTACACAAATGCTGTCCCTCCAACACACACACAGGCAAACAACTACTCACTAAATTACCACACAACACACAAGGACAAACAAACAATCACATTCAGTACTCACGCACAATCGATCTTTCTCTGTCGAATCTCACTATTCTATCGCTATGTATCTGTCTCTCTCTCTCGCTGTCTCTCTCGCTCTAACTCTAAATGTCTCTCTCGCTGTCTCTCTCGCTCTAACTCTAAATGTCTCTCTCTCTCTAAATGTATCTCTCTCTCTAAATGTCTCTCTCGCTCTAAATGTCTCTCTCGCTCTAACTCTAAATGTCTCTCTCTCTCTAAATGTCTCTCTCGCTCTAAATGTCTCTCTCGCTCTAAATGTCTCTCTCGCTCTAACTCTAAATGTCTCTCTCTCTCTAAATGTCTCTCTCGCTCTCAATGTCTCGCTCTAAATGTCTCTCGCTGTGTCTCTCTCACTATCCTCATGCAGTTGTGTCATTTCCACCAGTTTATATAGCCCTAGAGACAATCAAGGAGCAGATCACAGCTTGTCCCAGGTGGTCAGCTGTGGCCAGCTGTGATCGATCCATGTGATGAACATGTGCTTCAGTTACAGTGTTGGCGTTACAAAAGTAACGGAGTTACAGTAATGTATAACTTTTTGCTGTAACGAAGTAATGTAATGCATTACTAATGAAATGTGGGTAATATATTACCCGTTACAATTCTCAGTAACGCAGTTACAACACATTTTAACCCGAAATTAAATGGTGTTTTGTTTTTGAACCATTTACCAACATCGCAAGATATTCTGACACCAGAGACAAATTATGCGGGTAGATTAGTAAACCTGGTGTTTACCCTTCAGGCTCATCAAGATCCAGGCTGTCGGATGTTCTTTCCCCCATGACCGCTTCGCTGCACAAATATCCCGCTTATTACAAGGCCATACTAGACAAACAGAGCCCATTCCGTGTTCCTGTTATTGTTTACTTCCTCTCTGCCTTCTTCTGGTGATTTATCTGACGTTCAGCGCTCCGTCTTTTAACCTCTTTTGCTTTCTCTTTCTTGATCCTCCTTAGCAACCTTCATTGTAGTCATCGACAGTGGTCTGTACTGCTGTATTAACAACGTGTCACATGTTCAATGAATCAGAATCGAGTATTCAACTAAGCCGTGTAATAAAAGTTGTTAGTAACCTTAATGGCCTACACAGTTGTTATGCTATACCACATTGCCCTTCACTGGATGTATAATGAGCTGCACTAAACTACTTTTTCGCATTTAAAATACTTAGCCATTATTTTAAGGTTATTTTGGTGAAAGTAACTCAAAAGTAGGCTAATATAAAAGTAGTGTAAGTCATTACATTTCAGAGACAGTAATATTGTAATGTAACGTAGCCTATTACTTAAAAAAGACAGTAATAAGTAATGTACTGTATTACATTTTGGAAGTAACTTGCCCAACACTGCAGATGATCCAGTCATCTCGATGCTGCTTTCAGGCTGTGAATAAACAACTTGTGTTTTACTTTTAGGCTGTCTGAAGGTATGGACAGCTATCAAAGCTACTATACATCACATTAAGAACGATGTACAAATGTTTTATATGTATTCAACGTGTGCCCCGCTGGACTTACGTTTCTGTGGTTGACCGCTGTGACATATCAGTATAGCCACGGAAGATAGTTTGTGTGATTCATTCCCATGCATCAAGGTTATTTTCATGTAGCCTATGTAATTGTTTTTTCTGCACAGTGTAGAGTCTTGTTGTGATGAGAGGGATACAGGTATTTCATAAAAAAAACGTGCTATCTGGAGAATAGCTACAGAATTGATATCACAATTTAATCGGAGCTGATCACAACTTGTCATGAGTGATCCAGTCATGTCGATGAGCGGTCGGGCTGTGAATAAACAACTTGTGTTTTACTTTTAGGCTGTCTGAAGGTATGGACAGCTATCAAAGCTACTATACATCACATTAAGAACGATGTACAAATGAAAGTCGGACACAAATATATAATTTAAATGATTTATTCAAGTTTGCAATATTTTGAACAGGCATCCACAGTCACCTACTTTGTAATGTTCGATACCTCCCTGTAAGCGTCACGATATCCACCTCTCACCCACAACCTCACATACGAGTACTGAATGTGCATCAAAGTGATTTTAGGAAGGCAGATATAGCAAAAGATGAACGTAAACGACAAACGAGGCGATCGACATGGTAAGTCAACAATGGGTCCTCAATGTACACGCCCCGGATTCCTATGACGAAAATAATAGAATGTCACCAGTTGTCATGACTCACGTTATACTGCAACACCGGTACTGCGTACCGGTGAGTACCGGCCCAATTCCAGCACTGGTAATAACAATAAATCAAATGATATAATATAATAGTATAACTTGTGTCTACTTTAAATACTTTAACAACACTTTCCTAATTATACTAGCATACTTTTACTAAAGTAACATTAACATGTTTAAATGCAGGGCTTTTGTAAGAGAGTATTTGTATAGTGTAGCATGGTCTACTTGACTTATTTAACCGAAGTGATCGTAACGTTACTTTACAAACCGTCACCTCCCCCCCCCCCAACCACACGCACACGCACACGGACACACACACACACACACACACACACACACACACACACACACACACACACACACACGCACAAAAGGACACGGTAACGTTGTGATTCACTTCAATTAATGATAACTACGGAGCTTGCTAACAGCAAGGCACAAGGCTACTTCACTCATTTAGCTAGCTAATGTAAGATACAAATGCTGTCGAGCCCTCACTGCTTGTAAAATAAAGAGCACAAACTGACTACTTACCCAAGCCCCAGGCTGTTCTCCGTCATTTTTCTCCCGGGTTGTTGTGATCACATGACTGACAAAGCCGTGCTCTGATAGGTCAGAAGTCGGTTTGATTGCATTCAGGCTCGATTGCTTATCCTGTCTGAGTAGCCCGGATGATGTTGCATCGCAATTTTGGACATCACATTTTAAACACTGACATTTTTGACGTCGAATTTTTAAACACCGAAATTGTGGATCAGAATTGTTTTCACTTGAATTTTTGGGATCTGAATTTGAACATTCACATTTTTTTAACTTGAATTTTTACATTTTTATTTCACATAGGTAAATTCGGAGCAAAAAAAATTCAGATACATGATTTTCAAAGTAATTATTTTCAATGCTATACATTTGGTGTCTAATAAAATTCAAATACTTCTGTATCTTGTTTTGCTTCCATACCCTGTAGCTAGCTTCACGAAGCAGCTAACATCAAGACAAAAATGTCAAGTAACCTTTCATAAATCATCAATAATTAACATTAATATAACGTTACAATTGTAATGTTTTGCTGACATTAAGTACTGTTAATATCTTCACAGAAAATGCTGAGGTTTTTCATTTCACTCCTCTTTTAGCTGACATTTAATAAATGCAGGTACATTTTTAGCAGCTATTCATACTAAACCAACAGATCCATCTCTAGGGCCCTGTCTCAGGTCGACTATTTTCATTTCCTCGCTCCTCGGTCCTCGGTCTCACCGGAAGTTGATTTGTCTGCGCCATCTTGAGTACCGTCCCATGGCTCTTATTTCTGCCGGAGGACCGAGGATCGAGGAGCGATAATGGAGGAGCGATAATCGAGGAACTACCAGTCCATCCTCCGATGAAATCCTCAGACACTCGCCCCGCCCCCTTACTGTGTATCGCTCACTGATTGGACGATGCAGTGCATGCACTGATCTGATGCTTCTTGACAAGAGAGCAGTACCCCAGCGGAGTGAAGAAAAATAAATGAAACGAGAGTCATTCAGTGTAAACTGTGTTTTGTTTCAATTCATGTATCATTTAGTTACAAATATGTGATACATCTGAACAACAAAGTGGTCAAAAATCATTTTATTCATTTTTTGGAAACATTTTCATGATC